AATAAATATAACTAATTTAATATTTCCATTCTTGCTATTAACATACAAAGCCATAGAACGAAAGCCTATAATGACCTAAATGTATTATTTCATCAGTTGACTACCTTCGCTGTAAACGCTATTTTCGTCCGTAATTCCAATAACAGCTCACTTGGTTTGGCCATCTTAGGAGATTAACGTTAATTCTAAACCTGAATACTAAGCTAACAATGCAAAAAAAAATCCTAATAGTATATAATAAAAATGTATAAATAAAAATAATGATAAGTGATATAAATAAATATGTTATATATATTACACATTTTAATCACTACTGTTTAATAAAGACTAGAGCACAACCTACAAAACACAAAACTAAAAGAGCCTTGTCTAATCCTTTATAATAATACCTAGTAACGAAAGAAAGCCCATTAAACGGCTCCATGTAATTTTAGAGTAGCATAGCTACACATATTACTGTTGAAGTATAGAGTTTGCTAACAGCAAGATAGTTTATCTAACACAACTAATCTGACCTTAGCTATCTTCTACACACATGGTCAATTTTCTGAGCGTTAAACTCTTAGAGCAAGCCGAAACGTACGAGTTGTTTATGCAAATGATGCTATAAATATAGTCTTGACTACCACTAGGTCCGTTGTATATCGGCCGGCCTGAAAAGCCCTGGTATTGAACTGAAAACCTTATCGGCACTGAATATTGCAGATATAGTGTGATCGAGAGGTAATTTACATATTCATCCTTGTTTTCATTAATAAGTTCTTAGAATAAGACATGAGAAATATCACATTAATAATAATCCTTAAACAAGAAAGCAACAACAAGGATAAATTTTACAATTACAGTAAATAACAGGAAGTATTGTAACTAAAGTAGGAGGGTTATGCTGTATAAGAAACTTATTTTATTAGAAGTTACAGCTTTTACAGTAAGGAAGATTATTTTTAGAACAGGTACGACGTTTCGATCACTGGTGCGATCATTCTAAAGTACAGTTGATCGAAACGTCGTACCTGTTCTAAAAATTATCTTCCTCACTGTAAAAACTGTAACTTGTAATAAAATAATACTTAATCAGTAAGTAAACACAAAACGAAACTGGGTAAGGAACTGTTATATAACTTCCAATAGTTATAGTGTGAGGTTAAACTATAGGGAGGTAAAACTGACGATAGTCGCCATATTAAAGTTGTTCATTATGACCCGAAAAGTTAGTTAAGAAATTAAAGTGTAGATGAGACATTTTTCAAAAGGTCGAGATATCTTGTGAAATTATTAATGCCATAATATGTATTAAGAATATTTTTGAACTTACCACAAAACTGAAAACGATCTGATGTTCAAGATATGGTCGAAAAAACATTGACTTTGAAAAATGAAAGTGAGATTATAAGATCTATTCAAGAAATCTTGTAATGTTTAATATATTTTATTGTGTCTAACAAGTTGTGATTCGTAACATGATAGTATAATCTATTTAAGATATTTGTATTTAGAATTATAAAAAAGTTATCTTTAAAAATAAAAGTTTATTTTTTTGAAAAGTTTGAATGTGAAGTTTGGTTAAGCGTGCTTACACATCTGGTTGAGCTCACTGTTTGAGCCAAGTTAAGGTTTCGGTTTTTCTTTCGCTCAAGCGTTTCTAGATGAATCAATATATCTACAAGCGTGCTAATGTGCAAGGCAGTCTTTCGTATGAATTGTCTGGAATCAAAATTCAAGTTTAAATAAATATAAGCTCAGTAGTCATCCTAAACTTTGTTGTACGAAATATAAACTGTTTAGTACACTAAAGTATTGGGTGGTCCTAAGGTTATTTACTCCACTCTTAAATATCACATGTGTGGATAACCTTTGTCAATCTGGGTGCTATGTTTATTTACTGTTCGTATACACTAATACAATAATATAAAACAGATGAAAATTGAAAATAATTAGTGCACTGCTCTGGCACAACTTAACTTTTGGACCACCTTGTCTATTAAAACTGTTAACTGATTTATGATAGATTAGTCTTATTTGCATTCCTTTGAACAATATACGATGTTAAGAACGCTTATAAGTTAAAACGTGAATGATGCATTTATAAAAAAACGTTTTCGTTGAGCTGAAAACAAAAATAAGACTTAACTAGATAATCTATGAGCACGTGGTCACAATATCAGGATAAATGTCCTCTTTACACTTAACATAGCACAGTTAAGAAGGCCTCGTCTGTAGTTTAGTGCATGCAGTTTCTTTTCCCCAAAGCTTTCTGGATGTGATGACAGCGAGAGCAATTAATCTCTTTTAACCTCAGTTCTTTCGGGATGTTTTATTTTTCTAGATAATATAAATTATTTTAGACAATAAAACATTTTGATTATGTATTAATATTTAGAACACATAACAGAAATAGGAAGCATAACAACCAGCCAATGTATTCGTTGTTCTTCCTCGTTAATGTAAACGACTGATTTAACAAATGTGTTTACAGTTAGTGATATCCATATATGTCTTTGACAAACAAATGAAAAAAGTTAACGTTACTAAAGCTGTATTAGTTAATAGTCATATTTTTTTATTTAGAGTTTAAATCCTCTATGTGGCTACTTTAAATATATTGTGGGATTGACTGTCAATGTTAAAATTACGGAGAGTATTCAACGACGTATAACAAATCGAACCTTGGACATTTTCATCCTGGTACACCAACACTAAGCCGCATCAGCCTTTATAATCAATAGCATTGATATCTTGTGACTAAATAAAAATATATAAAATGGAAATTAGTCAAGTAGATACCAGAAAACACAGTAGAGTACTTAGTATGATTATATGTTATTTTACACTTGTATGACTTTAAGATATCTACTCAGGCTTACCCTACTAATTAACGTGGCAACAGATAATATAAAATGTGATGAGAATTACGTTTGTACAAACATTGCGAAAGAATTATATAGCCACTAACAGTTTGATGGATGTTTGCTAGGCATTAACGCATAATTAAAAGTTGGTTTAAAAAGCATGACCTCTGTTAAGTGCAGTAATTCGCTACTTAGTTGAAATCGGGAAAATTGTATATCCCATGTCCACATTTTGTAGTCATAAATGTTGGAGGTATCCCATACTCTACAAAATTAAAAATTTAAAAACAGATAAAACGGGATAGAAAAAAATGTATCACAAAAACAACGTTTCGCCACTTTTAACGTGGTGCCACGTTAACAGTAGCGAAACGTTGTTTTTAAATCATGCATATTTTCTATCCCATTTTAGCTGTTTTTGAATTTAAAATTACGTTTTGTATTTGTCAAACAACAACAAATACATTGATTTTGAAAGTTTTTGAATGTATTTTATAAAGTTTTGTATATTTTCTCTATAGTTTATGCATAATATAACACATGCTATATTATATGCCGTTTGCATTAACACATTTGGTAATCCATATCAAAGGAACTTCAAACTAGTATAGTAACTGGAATTGATTTGTGTAATTCCCGTATTAATCTAGTATGTATAAAGTCTTATAGGTCGAAGTCTTGATTGTATTGACGTATTCAATATTCTGTTAAGGCCTGGCATGTATGTGATCATTTCAAGTCATGTTTCGGCCCTTTACTGATTATTAAAGGTGGTACTAAATGTTTCCATTTTGAAATTTCCATTCCATGTGATAGGTGGGTATAGTAAAATGTATTGTAAAACGCGTGATTTTTCATTCTATTTGACGTGTATTCTTTCAGGGCTGTCATGTGTTTTGGTTCATTTTTTTCTCTCATCTGTCTGGCCAAATGATGCATAAATCTAGGTGTGTTTGATGATGTCTTTTTAAACCTGAGCTGGACTCCATCATGTACCTAAGTATATTAAAACTACAATGTTAGCCACTCTACATTACATATCTTTATACACATTTGGTTTTCATCCAAGGTACAAGTATTATATTAAGCAAATAAACTCCCAATTAAAGAGAGTTTTAAGAAAAATACCATCTACATACAAGGCGATTTATATTTTATTAGTTTAATCTTATTTAATCGTATAATATATTTAATTTGTTTTTATTCTCATCTTCAGAAGAAGGATCCTGAAATATCAGAATACAAACCATGCTTATCTGATAAAAAGTGACGTTTATAAATGATTCAAAAATTACTGTTACCAAACATCTTCCTGTGCCAACACACGTAACATCAAACCAACCTGAAAAGATAAATTTTAATGTAGTTAAATTTGCATTAGTTATGCCACTGTTAAATATGTAAACTAAATATGAATTTTGAATTTTCCATGAAATGTTTCTTATGGTGCTTCTTCATCTATACCAGAAATTATTTTATCTTTATTACCAACATAATTTAATTATTTTATGTTTCACAATTTTCGTCCTCAAAGAAGAACTTTGCCAGATGACAAGCACATGTTTTATTTAGCAAATTTAAATTATTCTAAAAAAATGTATTAGGTATTTCTATTAAAACCACACGTACGTTATTAATAAATCAACGTTAATGATATAGCACCATACTAGTCATAGAATATTTTATTCTATAAGCAGCGACACAACTTTGAAACACAGTAAGATATGAGTAACTACTGGCCATTGCTAGTTTAAATTGAGTCGTTTGTTTTACTTTGACGAACATACCTTATGTGCAATTATTATGCTTTAAGTAATATGTTATAACTACATTCACTTGGCCTCACCGTATTTAAAACAGTTTTAAAGAAATTCAGCCTTACTAGTCTCATGCCAAAAGATATAGAACAGCATCACTGTTAAAATTACTTTAAATTGCTTATTTTAGACTAAGCTGTATCTTTTGTTTGAACAATTTCAATAAGAAAATAAGCAACGATAAACAATTAACTTAAGTGTATGTCCAAAAGACAAAGTATATCTTATGTCTATTGAAGCGTCTTAACTTAAAGTTTGGTATGATAATGATTTGATAAAATATAATAAATATGATTATTAATATTAATTTGATCTCATTTACTTAATATAACAGCAAAGCGAATGTGAATTGTAAGGGAGAAGATGGTGACCGGACTGTTGTGACTTTGCTGTGATAACAGGAAATAAGGTAAATATTATACGTGGCTCAGGCAAAGTTGACTTGCGTTTTTTTTTTTAATACTGACACTGGATTTTAAGTTTTTAATAAAATTAAATATAACCTTACTTTAATGGTAGATGAAGATAAGGTGATTCAGCACAAGATTTAATAAAGTCACAAATACGAGCAGCTGTTTGTGCTAGTAATTACTAATCGTAGTATTCATACCTCATTGAAATAAATTTAGAAAAAGTTAACATTTTCTAAAAAAAAAGGATTATTCAGGGAAGTAGTGCACGGAAAAAGTGTTCGGATTGTTCTGATATTGTTTTTATATATTAAAAATGTTATTTTTTCAAGAACTCCATTTTTAGTACAATATTTACAAATTACATCAATAAAGATATGATCAAATATTCACGTATAGTCCTAGTGAAAGTCGTGTTCTTGTTGTGAGGAGGGTATTTAAAATGTTGTTCTATGATAAAGAAATGGTTGTAGCACATGCCGTAATTATTTTTCTAATTGTCTGAATCTTGAATTACGAAAATGTGATATTTTATTTTATGGATTTGTGTTTGTGATACTATTCACTAGATGGCGTCACATTGTATTGATAATTTCGGACACATACGTAGATAGATAAATATATACATGCTACGTCCATAATAGTAAGATGATTAAAAGAATAATAATAGTAATATTGAAATTAATTAGTTAATTGCCTAAACAATGTATCGGGATGACTTTGAGTCTTTATTTTTTAACTGTTTGAAGGTACACCAGAAACCAGATGTGTCACGGAAGGTTTTGAAGAAATCGGCAACGTACAAAGAAAGACATATGGGTTTTATTTTTGGATTTTCCACAGAATGTTTTGATAAGTTTACTATGACTTTAATTATATAATCAGAAACAAGAAACGTTTTCTAAGATAACAATATACCTGGGCCGGGTATTTTAATTTAGCTGAAGAAAGACATTACATATTAGAAAGATTGTTGTTTATCATAAAGCTTTTTTTTTGGCTGTTAAATAGTAATATCCAAACTAAATCGTTCACGATTTTGATATTTTATTAAAAAAAACAAACTATAATCCAAAACCAATGATGAACGAGAAATATTCCTGGTCTACCTATGCTGCTGAAAAAGTAATTCTAAATGAAGGAAAACAAGAGTATACATCAATAACACCTTTCTATGAGGACATCTTTAACTGTACAAATGAAACAGATAGTCTGTATAACCTTCCAAATGTATTCGACATCCATCTTCTAAACATGACACGTGACGTACCATTTGAGTATGCCATGCCCCTTTTCGGTTATATTATGCCCTCATTACTACTAGTTACGATAATTGCCAACACTTTAGTTGTAGTAGTTCTGGCTCAGCGCCACATGAGAACCCCGACAAACTTAGTATTGCTGGCGATGGCTATTTCAGACCTGCTGACTTTGCTATTTCCTGCTCCTTGGTACTTTTATATGTACACACTGGGAAATTATAACAAGATCCTGTTCCCACCCACTGCATGCTACGCTTACCATTATATGTACGAAGTGGTACCTGCATTTTTCCATACTGCCTCCATCTGGCTGACGTTAGTGTTAGCGGTTCAAAGGTACATTTATGTTTGCCATCCCACAGCGGCTCGCACCTGGTGCACAGTTCCCCGTGTTAGTCGAGCTATGATCTCTGTCTACTTGTTGGCTTTCCTGCACCAGTCGACAAGAATATTTGATCGGGTCTTTCTATCCGTCCAGTTTCGCTGGCAAGGAAAGGCCCACATGGGGTGTGTAGCTCAGACAGCTCGCTGGGTAGGAGGGGTACTGACGCAAAATATATACTACATCTTTTACTATGTCTTTCGTATTATTTTTGTACATGTTGGACCATGCGCAGCTCTGGTTGTCCTAAACGTGCTCCTTTTCCGTGCCATGAAAGAAGCACAACAGAAAAGGAAAAGATTATTCAAAGAAAATAGGAAAAGTGAATGTAAAAAGCTACGAGAAAGTAACTGCACCACTTTAATGCTGATCGTCGTGGTAACTGTATTTCTTGCCGTTGAAATTCCTTTGGCAGTTACTAGTCTGCTACACGTCATGAAGAATGCATTGAATCTTGATATTCCCAACTATAATGATCTAAATGCTACAATTCTCTTTACAAACTTTTTCATCATGCTCAGTTACCCTTTCAACTTTGCCATTTACTGTGGAATGAGTCGACAGTTTCGAGAGACTTTCAAGGACCTCTTCATGATTGGTAATCTCGTCAACAGACGAGAGGGGTCGTCCAGATATAGTTTAGTTAACGGGCCTCGTACGTCAAACAACGAAACAGTTCTGTAATTGTAGGGTGGGCCCAGTCTCTCGTTTATCTTGTTGCGATAAAAACCATTAAAATAAGAATAGATCATTCATATCATTAAATGGTGTGTTGGTGTATAAGTAGACGAATAAACATCCAAAACCGCTCAAATTCATTATTTACCCCATTCTTTATTGAGGAACTCACTTTATTCTTTTATAATGTGAGAAATACTGTATATGTTATACTATTCTGTAGAGAAGAGGGTTAGTATAAAATTACATAGATAGAATGAAAAGAAGGAGGCAGATGTGTCTGTACTAAGTTCTGGGGCTCCTTAGCACAGTCAGACCTGCCTAAATGTATAAAAAACATTTAGAAAATATACTTTATTTCACTGTCTTCATTGAGTAATTATCAGTGCACCTTGTGTAATATCTGTGTTTGAACTTATCCCAGTAAGCTAAGCTATGCTACTGTACTTGGTGTAATGTATTTTATGGAAAGTAATATTGTATTATTGAAGTATTAATAAAATGGCAAAATATTTAACGACAGGCTGAAGAAATGTTTATTATTATTATTATATCATCGAATTTAGCAATGTTCGATATGGTTGAAAACATCCAGATGCTTATCTTCTGTTGATCAGATATTTAAATTTCATTATTAAAGAAATAAATAACATGATATTTTAAACTGTTGTAAACTTATCAAAATATGTAAAAACGCCCAAAATCACATACAAAGCTTTCTATCTCTAATACAAACCACGCAACTCAAGTTTTGTTTAAAAATAAGGAATTTATATGTAAAGTTTAGTCTAACCCAGAAAATATGATTACAAAATGATATGTTAATATACTAAAAAAATCATAATATATGCAATTAATCAAAATATTAAACTAAAAATAAATTAAGATTTTTTTTATCGTATATATTTCAAAACGATCGCAGATGTTATGTTTTTTCTTTATATTTGCAGGCTCGTTTTCTAGAATGCTTTCAAGAGTGTTCTTTTAAGACATGGAAGTCGAATGTTTTCCTTTTCGTCTTGAAAAAATACAATAATCTATAACTAATGCATTGAAAAGCTCGACTACAAATAATTATTATGCATGGTCGAAGCGAAATCGCTTGTTTTCAGGTTTTATAGCGAAATCCGCAAACATATGAACATTTTAGAACACTCATTGTCAAACAAGTATGAACAATCACTTCAAGAACACTAGCATATCTACTTACCATTTAAATAAGGTTTACTCCTGAATTTTAATACAAGTAATTCCATCAAATCATGCACCTAATCGGAGAAACTGGCGAATTCTTTTGTTTACAGTAAGCTAGTTTAATATAGTATCTTGATAGTCTTAACCAGCGAGACTCGTACACCAAGCAGTTTATATAAATAGATTTTGATAGTAACAATGTTAATCAAGTCCTAATTACAAACTCACGGATTCCCTTTTCTATAACTATATTATACTTGTTAATTATCTGAGATGAGAATCTTCCCTTCAGAAACACATTTCCTCTTATTTAACAAGTTTACTAAAGATGATTTAGTAATTTATATGTTGTCATTGTACACGCTCTCACATTCACACAGACTTAAAATAAATGGATGTTTACCGAAACGTATTCTAATATTAACAAGAACATAGATTAACATGGATCTTTTATTTAAAGTTTCTCATATAATCTCCTTAGTAATATCGGCCTTCTGTATTGCAAATTATAGATTACTATGTTAACGTGTACACCAAAACGTTTAAAAAGTTTCAAATTATTTTCGTTAGAAAGAACATCTAACAAGAATACAGAAACTATTTTGAAACAATCATTTTAATACCTTATTTTGGAAATACCATTTATGTTGTAGTTAACTTTTCTTTCACCAAATAGCTCCTTCAATTAGTTTAGCCATCAGTGTAAGTAGAGCAGTTACGGCATAAGACAGTTAGTTTATTTATCATAATTTATTTAGAATCGGAGAATGAAGTCTTAAGTAGTAAATTTGCAAAATTTATTAGTTCAATATATTAATCACATTGTTTTACTGCAATGTGTTAATTGTACTTTGTACTAAACATATAAATAAATAATATGAAAAATTACTAATCTTAGGAAAACCTGTATTTTACGAAATAGATGACATTGCTTAGTCAATTCATCTTGTGTGAAGTGATTCCTCTCAGATCACTCCCATTTTCGTGTTCAGTTATCTTCTCCTCTTCATCTTTAGATAATTCTCACACGTTATGCTCATGATTACGTCTGCAACTCAAAAATAGCCTCTTTCAAAGCAATGACAATATACACACAGAATCTTTTTACAAAAATATATTCAAATGGTCGAGCTAGTTTTGTGTGATAATATTTCAAACCAAAAATCTCTTTATTTTTTGTCATTTCTGCATCAGAAGATATGACAGCTCACTCCATTCTACTTTTAATGATAAATGTAATTAATGCATATATGTAAGCCTTAATTCAAAATATGAAGATATAATTATGTTTTTTTAAATGTATTATTTGTATATGACAGGATTATTTTAAAAAGCTCTTACTGATACTAAATATTTTGTTTCAATATAATAAATGGAACCTTATTTAATTTAATATCGTTGTTTGTTATCTCTACAACTGCTTTTTCGGACTAACTGTGACCAATTTTCTTATTAAAAGCCCCCAGGGCACAGCGATATATCTGCGGACTTACAATAGAAACCGGATTTCGATACCCGTGGTGGGCAGAGCAGAGCTGTGTAACTTTGTGCCTAATTACAAACAAATAAACAAAGAAATCTTATTAAAATCTTCTTTTAATAGTTATATGATTATTTAATAACAGTATTTGGAGATGCCCATAAAGTTCAGAACTGTTTTCTTCTGTTATCCTTCTAACACTTTAAAAGAACCCTATCGAAAGCTGTTTCTTCCTCAGTCGACTATTTTTAAATCTTGATAATTCTAAGATACCTGTAACTTAGAATAATTTAACGAAAAAGACTTATTTAAAATAAGGAAAATGCTGCTTTAAAACGACAGTCGGACTCGTAAGATTTAAGAATTGGTTGTCGCTGATGGGAGTAGTAACAAGTGTCCTGGATATGACAGAATACTGGTGAAGTAATGAAATGAAATTATTTTACTTAAAAAGAAACACGCAACGAACATAACTTAAACTGTAAATACTGTGTTGTAAAAGATGAACAGTGTTTACAAATACTTTTTATTAATGTACATAATACGGGATCTTCTGACATAAATGTATACCACAAATCAAGCGTTTCATCGTTTACCTCATTGTTCAAATTATAATCATAAATATTCTGAGTTACGAATTTGTTTACCTCTAAAATTATTTTATTCTCAAGTGAAACATTTGTATAAAAAGGAGATTCCTTTGGCAGTTATGAAGAATACCTTGAATCTTGGTATTCCCAACTATATATATATATAATGACCTAAATTCTCTTTATAAATTTTTCATCATGCTCATTTACCATTCAACTGATGAGAAAAACTAATTCTTTTGTAATTGTGTAATTTTTTTTTTTATATATTGTCATTGTTTTGAAACGTTAAAGGAAAACAGCGTCTATGGATTTTAAAGATAAGTATCTGTATTTTTCAAAAGCTGCTTAAATATTAATAAAAGACTGACAAAACAAATTCATGACAAAATATAGTTGTATCAGGTTGTAAGTTATTATAAAATAGCATCCATACGACGACATTAATATCCAAATGGAAACCGCTTTGTACATTGTAAAATTCTAGTGTATCGATCAACATATGAGTTGCGCTTCAATTACTGTTAATAAAGAAGAAGAATATCCGATCTCGTTTGGTGTAATATTACTTCCTTCAAATTTACTACTACTTTATGTGTTGAAGAAGTAAACACGCGCATTTTACGAAATAAGCAAAAAGCTAAATTAAAATGAAAAACTTCAGAAAAATCACTTTATTAATTGTTCACTGCGTGAAATTTATGAAAATATTAATTATGATCGAAAACAACTTAGTGGTATGAACCTTTAGTTACAAGCTTTGGTATGACGGCACAATTTGTATACTATGTATGTTAGCTGAAAATTCAATACAACACAGTTTTTAGATAGTTTATTTTTATTTAGTACTTTGTTTGAAATAGTACAGGTTAATCTATTAAGATTATGTTCCATAAAGTACTCCGGTGAGTCAGCGGTAAATTTGTGGACTTAAAAAGCTAAATACATGTAATGCTGAAATGCTATGTAAAAATCAGGAGTGGTTTATCATATTATGTGCACTTTTATAGAAATATTTTCCTGTTATTGATTATGTTTACAGAAAGAAGTTCTGAGAACAAACAGATGAACCCACGATTCCAGACTTCTAATGGAATGGTCATTTATGAGTGTAAGAATGGATTTAAAACATTTAAAGCGCGGTAGGTCATTTAAAACTACTTAAAATATCACTATTACTTTGCATATTCCAGATTGAAAGCAGTATTTAAAAAACTATCATTTTTACGCATTCCCATTGCTTAACAATAAATCCAAATATTAAATATATTCATGAAAATGAGAAAGGCATTCTAATATTGTGACATTTTTTAATGTTTAGTAATCAAATATGGAACAGTATTTTTTGCATTTTCTTACCAGTTTTGGGTATATTAACAGTAACTATAATTCGTCTGTCTTGTGATGAAGTTTATTCAATAGCAGAAAAATACTTATAGTTTCCAGAATTTGAACCGAATTGGCTTCTTTTTGTGATCCTTCTCCTATGCACCTTCATTAAATTACAATAATTAAAGGCTGTCAAGTACAGCAGTTAATTTACTGATTTAATTGTCAGATAATTATATAAAATTTTTACTCACATCAACTCCAGAATATCGAGTGACTTAGAATCACCATTACATAGACTGTATCTTTTTAACTTCTTTAAAAGTTTAAACAAGAACAACCAAGAAATTGTGTTTTAAAGTTAAACGTCAACCATATATAACAATCATATAAGTGTCAGTAATCTTTGCATATATATTAAAAAAAAAAACTTGCTATATATATAAAATTTTCTGAAAACAAAAAAGCAATCAAATGAAGTTTAATTTGAGATTAAATAGCTTTTCTTTAACATGTTTATCTATATGATGTGAGAAAAGAATATTACTGAACATTTGGACAATTAAAAATTAACAACAATCTTTTATCCTAAACTATGGAAGCTACTTATTTAAGCGCCAGAAATAAGGTAATGTTAGACTAGAAATAAGGTTTTAGTGTTTAAAAGTTTGTACATTTCACTTTATCATAATGCATTATCATTCCAGATTCTTCGATAATTCTTTCAAAATTAGAGCAAATGGAAAAGCTTGGAACTGTAATAAATTTGCCGTAACAGGTGTTTTTGAAACGAACGTTTCGAAAGAGCACAAGAAAATATCTTTCAGTGCATTACACAGGGATGCCATCTAGTGGTAATTAATAAAACTCCGTAACTATTAAACAGTAATACAAGTG